CGACATATCTGATGGTGTCCCGGTCATGTTGTTGCTACCTGATTCTCAGTCTGAGGCAGGTAGAGAGGGCTGCTTTGACAGAACCTGTAAATCAATCCTATTCTCTGGCAAACAAAGATTGATCCCACTGTGGCCTGATGGTTGCCGGGCGGTGGGATCCGGGCCTCACATTTGAGTGGGATGATATCAGACAGATTCACGGCATCTCAGCCTGCAGGTTCAAAGAGGCATGAAATAAACACAATGCCATTGCCAATAACAGAGGCGGCATAAGTAAGCTTTCTAGCCCCTCCAGTGGACCTGCGGAAATTGGTATTGAAAACCTTGTTTATTCATTCATCTGTACTCCAAACCTGTAGATTTATTCATGAAACCAAAGAAAAATCCAATACATAATCAATAGTTTTGTCCTGAAATTCATACGTAGTTTAGTGACATTCTGTAGAATGTTACGATATGTTTTCACCAAGACTGCTGTTACTCAAAAATTCCCTGCCATTCACACCATTTTATTTTCCTTAATTAATAAGCAGTAGGTTAAGTGTGTGCTCAAAAATGTTTTTCTGATGAATAACCAAGATTAATATTCACCTGTTTAGTTGATTTCGATGTATTTTAAGTAGAGGCTGCATGCCTGAACTTAGCCTTGTTTGGTAAGGTTTCAAAATAAATTGAATTCAAAAGGTATTTCCATAGATTTTTAAATAATTTTATTTTGCCCTGTAACCGCATCTGTCAAGGTCCTCAAAGACTTAATTCCAAAAACCACAAGCCCTCCCCGAGGTAATTAAGTAGTTTTAATGAAGGAAACTAAATGGAATTTCAGTTATTGTAAATGTTCATAGTCGGTCACGTGTTGCTGAAAATTGAATATCTTCAACATTGTTGTTATAATTATGCAAAGGCCAGGATATATCTTAACAACAAGCTGAAAATGTTGAGTTTGGAAATCACATGGTAATTACTGTTTTACACACAGTGGGCTTAACTACTGTGGGCCATTATGGGGTGCACAAAAGTCATTCACAGAATCATTATTGCACCCTCTGAGATAACGGCACAAAAGAACTCCACATGGAAAATTACATTTGAGACCTCTCATCTGCTATTTCATTACCTTGCTCTGTCTGATGCTTGAAATGGGTTCTCTTAATTTAAGGAGCTGGATTCCAGCTTGGTGAGTGGTTTATGTAATCTCCCGGTAAGTGTAATTTCCCATAATGCCAGGTCACAGCTACTACTCTGCTTAGCTACCACATACACGTATTGCATCGCAGGCCATCTCCACCACATCTCACAAATAAGACCATTTCTATGGTGAACACCCTGCAAAGACAGAAGTATGCAATTATCTGTAAGCCACTAGTGTTTCTATGGGTGACATTCATACCTTCTTTTGATGGAAATAATTAGTCCGGGGATTTTCAGGCACTAAGAGACCGTCTTCATTGACGACACAGCCATGTTATCCACATGTTGCACTCAGCACAAGCATCCGATCCATGTCACACAGATCTATTGAGGATGGGGATAACCTTTGTCCCATATTATTTCAGTGTAGGTATGATGAAAAGTTACTTGATTTGTAATTGGAAAATGTTATCATTGTTCATTTAAATTATTTTAGTTTGTACATTCTCCAAAAATCTGTTATTGCAGCTGCCAAGCTAAACATGAATTCAGTTGTTTTCACAATTTTTTTCTTTAAATACGAGCTTGCTGATGTATTTTTTCTATATACATGTATAAATTCCTTTAAATTAGTGTAGGTGGATAAGAGCCAGCCGAACAGTAGATTAAAGGCCGTGTGGGAAACACAACTGGCTGGTTTTTGGACAACATCTAATGTTTTGGAACCTCTTTTAGATAAAAATTGTGTTACCAATTTTTTAATGAAACTAACAATTTATTTTGAAGCTTAAATCCCCTGGGGTTTAAGGGATTGCAGCGATACCATATCAGGTGTACTTGAACAAAGGCATCTACCACATGAGAGATTAATAATAGAAATTGGAAAATGACATGACAACGTTGCCTTGAATAGAGTGAATAGAGGGGACAGTTGAATGTCAGTGTATCCAGTGTTTGTTGTCTTGTTTTCGCTTGTTGACTTGTTTCATTTGACCTCAATTCATAATGAGCATACTGAAGACACATCTGGAGAAACATTGTTTTTGGAATTTTTGTAGACGAGTTGTATTAATGTTAATGTGTTGCAGAGTGATTTGAGACATGCCGAGTGATACAGTGATTTAAAGATTTTGAACCTTTTCATCCCCTTTCAAGATGCTTGCTAAAACAGATTTGTTTGGTTCTGGCAAAATGATTATATTGAGGCATCGCATAGCTTTAATAGATATATTCTTTATTGACAGGAAAGTATATGGTCAATTTTAATTGTTTGTCAACATATACAAGCAGACTTACAGTTCAACTACAACATTTGTTTGTCCTTGGGTTGTTTTGGTAATAGTGTGTGCACGAGTTTTGTGCCAAAGAATATTTAAGTAGACTAGACATTAAAAAGCCTAATGGAAACATACTGGCAGAAACTCTTGGCATTTGAAAAAGTACTTTAGCTTGTACAAATACCAATGTGATTCAATGTTTGGTCTCAATGGGGAAAGAAACAAATATTTTCTTCAGAACCCCATCGTGCTGTGAATGTAGTCTGGAAGTGATTACGGTTACAGTTCATCATTTGATTGTGATGAGAGGAGCATATCCCAGCCTTTTAGTGGTTGAAATAGGAATTTCCCCCCCCTCCCTCATCAGTTTGTGAGTTGGTTCTGCTGTGTCAGCAGTCGGCACACAAAAACGGAATTCAGTAAAAGCTCTCTCCGCTCTCTCTGAGTTTTTTTTCTTTTCCCCAACAGCTTGCTCCCATCCCCCTTTCCCCCTCATGAACTGACATGCTGGAAGAAACATATGCTACTATTCCCACTTCCTGACAGCTTGTGCTGCTTGAATAGGATCTTTCTCAGGGAGGAAGCAGTTGTCTGGAAAGAGGGGAGCGATAAAGTAAAGAGAAAACATCAGTGAGGTTTCAGTAAAGGAACTAAAACATAAAAGCATTTTAGGTCGTGAATTAAAGCAGTTGACACAAGATTGTAAGCCCAATCTGTTTCTGTGTTTGTCTTGAACTAGTTTTCAGGTTTGCAGTCGCCATGCTACTGAATATAAGACTGCCTTTGATTTGCATGTAAGCAAAAATGAGAACTCAGCACGTCCCACAGTGTCACTGGTTCTGTTCAGCCACTACTCTCATTCACTCAGAGATGTTTAAAAGTGTTCACAGCCTAATATACAATCACGTAGTCATTGTTTTTATTTGATGATTCAGGTGAAGCATGAAAAACTGCAGGAGCAGTCACAGTATAGACAGCTGCATTGGACAATTACAAAAACACAGCTTGAATGAGTTTAGTATGTGCCTGTTTACTCATTGATGTCTTATCCACTTGTTGCTCCTCCCTCTGGGATCTGGCCAGACAACTTATGATGTGCCTTCATTGTGTTCTTTCATGTTTTTGTATTGAGTTGCTGTGTCTTGGATCAAACCTTTCAAACATGCAGTGATTGTGCATGATTTATTTACCCATATTTAAGACAATTCTGTCTTACATGCTAAGAGAAAACATTTAAAATGGTATAATTTTATAGTATGATCAAAGCACTTATTCCTTCACAACGTCACATTTATAGTTATGCATATGGCTACAAGACTCTGTCATGAATATGTTGTTATTGTCCATGCCGACTTAAATGTATTACCATGTCCATCTGTTTTCATACCAAGTAACTATAAACACTACAGTGTGCATGTCTGCCGTCTGTTTCACCCGACTTTTAATCAGTACAACTCTGCCATACAAGTTGTAAGTATAAACTCAACCTTTACACAATAAATGAGCTATGTTCTCACTCAACACGGAACATTTGAATCCATTCTGATGTTTCTTTCTTATGTAATTTAACCGCAGCAATAAACTCAGTCCTGGGTCTGCTAAGGCCAACATGTGCAGAATGCTCTCCATTCATGAAGGCCACACAGTTGTACTGACCGCAACACTGCTGAATCTCATTTTACCACACACATGCCTCTCTAGTGCCCAGCATTCATGAATCTGTAGTGAGTAATTCCACATAAAATATGGGATAGTCTGCTGTTTTATGTTCCTGGACACTGGGTACTGTTACAGTACTGCAGATGCTGTCACTCAGGAGCATGCTGGTCTTGTCAGTAGCTGCTGGTGAGAGGAGACTCTCTCCAGCTGTCTGAGCAGCTTGGTAAGATGCACAATGGGGGGCGGGATCTTGGATTGATCCACAGTCTGAACGGCAGTTTTTTGTTTTTTTTGGGATGCCTGCAGCCCCCAGCCTTTAAAAAAAGATAAAAAATCCTATAGCCTCTGTGTGTCATGAGTCTCTGACTTCAATATGTCGTGTGGTATGACTGTAGCTGGATAGTGACGCTGTTTTTCCTGTTTTTCCTACTTTATTCTTGCTAAACATCATTTTTCTAACAATCACAGACACAGTTGGGGGAATGTTGAACGCTGGCCTCTAATTTCCCCATCGAGATCCTATATAATTAATTCATTATTATTCATAAGAATAGGGTGATAGTTCGGATGGGGCACTCCATCACTTTAGAAATGATAGAGTTCTTCAGGCATGGGATGCATTTCTCATAGTCTGGTTTGTAAGATCTAAACATGTTTTCAAATGTAACTATGTTACTGAGGACTGTCATTCAAAAAGAACCAAAGCCACCAGTCCATGAATGAAAAGGTTCAATGGTTCAAACCATAACATTCATTGTAAATATTGTCAACTTCTTGGCAATGTTCAAGATTGTTTGGCTGCTTCTGCTCCACATTGTGCTCTCAACTAACAGTGTGTACTGTGTCACTCTTTTTCTCATTTGGAAGCAGATGTCAACTGTTGTGTTGTAGAGACTGACCGCTTGGTTGTGTTTGTTTATTTCGGAATTCCAGGTCTCTCCCTAGTTTGCTCCAGGCTTTAGCTTGGAGAGCCCAACCGCCACCATTGATCCCAGCAGCTGGAGCGGCAGCGAGAGCCCTGCCGAGGACATGGAGAGGATGAGCGACTCTGCAGACAAGCCCATGGACAATGAGGCCGAGGGGGTGTGGAGCCCCGATATCGAACAGAGCTTCCATGAGGCCCTGGCTATCTATCCTCCTTGTGGACGAAGGAAGATCATCCTGTCTGATGAGGGAAAGATGTATGGTGAGTACAGAATCATTTCAGAGTGTTACTAGTATAGATGCATGTTTTTCAACTAGGTCAATACTGTTGGAGCTAATAGGAATAGTTTGACACTTTCGGGGATGAGTAAGATGAGAAGATCGATTCCACTCATGTCGTGGCCAGCAGCTAATTATCTTAGCTAAGCATAAAGACTGGAAGCACGGGAAAACAACTAGAATAAAAACGAGTTGTGGTTTTACAGGTGGTTCTGTCTGGCACCTTTTTTTGCTAGGCTTTCATGTCATACTGAATTGAACAAAAAGATACAAGTGGTATTGAATTCATCTTCTCAATGAAATTGCGCCAAAAGAAGCGAATAGACATATTTATTTATTATAGTCCTTTAAAAGAACAATCAATATATGCCTGGGCCAAGTAATGTGATATCGTAAGACTGTCAAATGTATCTGTGATGTGCTCTGTGATGGTGACCATAGAGCCACGAGTCTGATTTAAAGGACTGCAAGTTTATAAGTAAAGCAGCATGAACTATTAGTCAGTAGCAGATGGTACTGCGGCTGCCACCAGCTGTGCCCCCTCTCCTCCCTCCGCTTCCCCCATTCCTGGCTGGGTGATGTCATGGAAAGAGGGAATATTTTCTCTCTGCGGTGTTGGACTGTCTCACAGCCAGTCAGTCAGTGTCAAGTGAAAGAAGAAAGCCCCTCAGAGCATTTGCTTGCAGCTGTCATGTGACCCGCTCCGGCCAAACGAAATGTAAATCCTATGAGTTTCAGTGAAACCCCTCAGCTGCCACTACAAAGATGTGGGCTCAGACAACAGGACCCTCCCCACCGTCTCTTCCTCCAATTCCCTCGTCCCCACATAGCGAGCTGCCAGAGAAGCTGTCCCTCTGCTGTGGATTAAAGCATAACTGTTTTTCTTTTCAGTAGTTTTAAATGAGCAGTGCTAGATGAGGCCTCGATGCTACTCAGCCAATGGTGTCTATATCATGCAAATGTTACATATTTTGGTAGACTATGACATTTAAACATGAAATTGTTTTTTAGATTTATATTATTTTTGAAAAGTTATAAAGCAAGGTGAAATAGGACATGGCAAAAATATCAATATTATATCAATATTGTGATACAAAACTAGATATAAATATTGTCTTTTGATAGTTTCCTGTTCACATTTTTTTCCTTTACCCACTTAATCATTATTATCTGAAATTTCCTGTTTGTAAAAGCACAAATAGTGCATACCATATCAACAATATCATACCATACAATCAATGTTGTAAGCAGTATCAAATTTGAGACATTTGGTCCAAAATGTCATGATATTTGATATTCTCTTTATAACCTAGCCTTGAGTAGAAACTCAGCAAGACTCTTACATGTTGATAAACGTTTACTGCATCAAATACCAACAAAACCTTGAATGTAGGTTGCACAGTAAGTGCTTCTTTTTAAAATCATACAATAAAAACAGATAGATGACCAAATCAAATGTATAGTACATTTAATGGATTTAATGATGACTGAGGGAGAAGATAACCCACTGAAATATATCTCATGAAGATGGCATATAGACATTAAAGATATAATAAAAAAACTGATCGTTCAGGTTTATTTTCCTCAGGACAAAGAGTGTTGCTTCAGTTTAGATTCAACCACCCCGTAACAAACCCAAATAATTGTCTTGTGTTTGTGTTGAATCTACCTTTTAAAACCTGCAGAAGGGACGCCTGTAGTGATGGAAAGAGTTTGGTCCTTCCAGATGTTTCTCTGTATCTGGTTACATATCGTCTCAACAGTAGCAGAGTCATTGGGCTTTCTTTCCCCTGGGCGAACTCATTACTGAGTCACAACTGTTTGACACAAGACTTCGATGATTGTCTTACATCTTCAAGTGTGCAAACTGAATAAACACAGTCGGGGTTGATTACAATACTGCTGACTGCCGGGGTTCAGCTGCTGTCTGTCTGTTAGACAGGAGGGAAATGTTTTCATGTTTTGGTTTTTATATTACAAATGCAGAACTACGGTTGCAGTCCTCTTTCTTAACATGTCAGTTTGTTGTAACCTTGTTAAAGAAGACCGATCGACATCACTCTTATAAATGGGTGCTAGTTCTGGCAAAGGGTCTCGTTGTTCAGCCCCGCAACGGTTGCTGCCTCCCAGTGCCAATCCCATAATGACATGAACCGAGACAATCCCCCAGAGCTAGGAAGGCGTCAAAGGTGTCCTGGGTGTTTTCTTCAAAAATAAAAAGGAGCCCATTATATTTTGAATAGACTTTTTTTGTTAGATATACAATATAAAATTAGACCAGGAAAATACCAATGCATTTGAGATGGTCTTGTGGTTTTCAGGACATTATTTCTGATGCTCCATTCGCTCTAAAGTAAGCAATATCCCATCAATCATTGACAATAAGGCCTTAGCTGTGGGAGTGGCCAGCTGTATGGATTACCTTTGTGTTCAAATGAACTCACGGTGTTGTGAATCGTTTGAGGAATGCTTGGAATGTGACTTGTGTGATTACTCTTTCCCTCTTATTCCTAAGACACTTACAGAGTTGGTAAGAAGAAAATCGTACAAATATCTACTGTTGTTGCCTAACATCTATTTATTTGTTCTAGTCCTCTTTATGGCAAAATAAACAAACAATCAAAATAGTTTCTTCAATCAAAATGATTTTGTTTCTCTTGTTAAACCAGATTGACAATGCCCTCATTGTAGCATTTATTGATTAAATGCGTGAGAATACTGGAGCAGTACAAATCAATATTCAGTATTTAATTGCATTTTTATTGTGTACGGTATTTGTGACATAGGAGAATAACGGTTAGCATTTCTGCTCAGTGTCATAGATTAAAGTATATTGATTCATCTGAGCCTCCATGTCTGAGAGGGGTGTCAATTCAAATCTCGCACCTGTCCTGTTCACTATGGGGTGCAGGAAGTGTAAGATGTATCGTTAGGAATAAAGTATGTAAGGCAACTGTTTGGAAAACTCAATTAGAACAAACAATGAATAAAAACCAAACCATGGCTGCATGCCCTGGATAAAAACAAAGATGCTTTGTTTGCTGAGTGAATGCGTGTTCTTTGTGGTAAACCTCCGATTTCTATTTGTGCAGTGCTCCTTGCACTTCTTTGGAACGCCATCATGGAAGATAAGTAACTATTGGTGCTACAAGCTGCTACATGGGATTGATTTGTCTAAAACCAGCGATCTGTCTTTTAAGAGTGGAAGGGTTCAGCTAATCACAGTGAGGCTGATATGGGGCTGTAATCCAGGTCCATGGGGTTTAAAACAGCCACAGGCCGACACCACACGTAAACCTCTCATGGCATCTGAGATGAAAGTTGGCTACAAGGAGACCGGTATTTTGTCTTTGAGAGACCCTGGGGATGGCATAGTGTTCCATACACAGAGCTCATCACAAGAGAAGCTGCCCTGAGTGCCCTTAAGCCCTTTGTTATCCTGGGGTAGAGTGCAGTTAATTAGCAACAGTCTCTATAGCAACTGTGTTGTGGTACAAACAATTTCTAATTTCTGCTTCTTAGCTTATTGTGGTTTTTACCTGAAGTGTTTCGTATGTGCTGAGACCAGTGTTGGCTGGTGCTGTTCTCTGAGGCTAATCGTGGCTACAATGGAAGACACCACATCTGCATAGACTGTATCAGTCGGCACTTGCCATGGCCCCAGAGTTTACTAAGGAGAATATTTTAAAAAGTAAAGGGAAATAGAGCGCACTGGCCCCTAGCCAAAGGCCTACGATTCTCCACTTGCATAATTCACCTGCTGTGCTAGGCTGCATTCATTTATCCCAGAAATAGAGTTGATAAATGAAACAACACGCTTCACTAAAATTGTATGTTTATTCATTGAGTTATGTATTTGCACTTGCCCCGCAAGATAAATGACATTGGTGAAAAAAGGTAAGAACTGATTTTTTTACCGACAAATAAATATGTAAATACATCCTCTACTTGTAGGTTATACCACACCCAATTGAGTGTATACCACATGTATATGCATGTGTTGTCCTTTCAAGTTTATGGTGAAAACATATTCAATTTTAATGGGAATTTGAAGGTGACTTACAAGCTTGTGTCATTATAAATGGTCTATATTTGGTCATTATTAACAGAAACGGCAACTTTGCCATTAAATGCATATTTCTCTCGAATAAAAGGAATGCCTGCACCAAATCACAGAGAGATATCCTCACTGTTGTATTCACCTTGTAGATGGACCATTCGACACTATGGTTCTGTCTACATGTGGGCTTTTGATGCAAAGATTTTCCTATTACTACTCTGTTGTTTGCTCTGCCATCTCGTCAGTGATCCAGCCCAGACCCCTCCTGTGGGAACTAAGTGGCACTTGGTTTGCAGAGATGCCAAGGATGAGTTAGATATAATGAGCAGACCTGGCTTGCCCCCGATGGCCCAGCACTGTGCTCCTGTGGGACTCGTCTCTCCGGGCCGAGCATGCTCTGAGACAGAGCGAGCAGACCCGATTCCTCCCTGCTGGGCGGATAATGAGGAATTCTGGGATCAGCTCAGGCTCTCCGAGTCACCTACATTCACGCAGAATGGAGTGTGAGGAACTTCATTGCAGGAGAGGCATCACACACCTCCAGAATAATCCCTCATTTGTTCCCCTGCCATTGTCTGTGTAAGACTACCGTGTTTTCACACACATGGTAGTGAAAAAAGTCCAATTATGTTATGTCTTCCTCAAAGGAGTAACTGTCACAAGAGTAAATAGTATTGATGCAGGTAGGATGAGGAAAGGTGGATGTCATTTTGAATTAGTATTTTAGGGTTGCCTTGAGACAAAATGGTTATGTATTCATTATGGGTCGCTATGGAGATGTTTTTTTTTTAACCTGACACGGTGACATGGAATCATGGAAAACATGCGCCTCTGGTTGATGCGAATGGGTCAACAAGCACAGATCGACCTGGTTTTGCGAGTCTTCTCCCAAACATAGTGTCTCCCCTCGGTGTCTCTATTAC